ATTATCTTGTTCAAATTCCTACCTATTTTTGTGTTGATCTCCTTACCCTCTCCTTGTCATCTTCTCCCAAGTCCAACTTTTTTTGTGTTGTTCTCCATACCCTCTTCTTATTGTCTTCCGATTCCAAAATGTTTTTGTGTTCTTACCCCCCTTTGTGTGGGTTTCCTCCTTACCCCCTATTGTACGTATTATCTTTCCCCAATTCCTTCCACTTTGCCTTGATCTCCTTACCCCTCATTATTTTCTCCCAATTCCACTTTTTATTTTGTGTTGATCTCCTTACCCCTCCTTATTATTTTCTCCCAATTCCACTTTTTATTTTGTGTTGATCTCCTTGCCCCGGGTCCTTATTGCCTTCTCCCGATTTCTACATTTTTGTGTTAATATTCTTCCCCCCTATTTTTGGGCATTTCCTCCTTACCCCCTTGTTATCTTCTCCCAATTCCATATTCTTTGTTGATCTCATTACCCTCTCCTTGTTGTCTTCTCCGGTTCCTACTTTTTTGTGTTGTTCTCCCTACCCTCTCCTTATTGTCTTCTCCTGATGCCAACCTTTTTTTTTGTGTTCTTCTCCCTACCCCTGGTCCTTATTGCCTTCTTCCAATTCCAACAATTGTGTGTTAATCTTCTTACCCTCGTTTGTGTGGATCTCCTCCTTACGCCCCACATATTGTCGTCTCCCAATTCCTACCTATTTTTGTGTTGATCTCCTTACCCTCTCCTTGTCATCTTCTCCCAAGTCCAACTTTTTTTGTGTTGATCGCCATACCCCCACCTTATTGTCTTTTTCCCATTCCTACCTTTTTTGTGTTCTTCTCCCCCTACCCCCTCCTCGTTGTCTTCTCCTGAGACTCCCTACCTATTTTGTGTTACCAGTTTCCACCTGTGTGTCTCCCGCCTTCCCCCCCCCCGTCCACCCACACTTGTCTTTTTACCCTCCTCTGCCGGGTGCCTCTCTCTCTCTCCACCTCACCCCTCATTTGCCTTGCTGCCTCTCCTTCCTGTACGGCCACTTGCGATGGAGTTGTGGCCTTCATCTAGTTATCATGAATGGGTATTAGCTACTGATGATGTATTGTACCCGTTCTGTTTTCCTCCTCACTCCTCTCCCAACCTCTCTTTCTTACACAAGCTGCTAGGGGGCAGTACTGAGTCAGCACAGACAATACGGTGGGCTTCCTAGAGAATTTATCTTTGGGTAGTTTAAGGGGGCGGATGGTCTTCAGTCAATCAATATGATGGTGTGGTTGTCCAGACCAGGACTGACCCCTGCAGCTTCTGTTTGACCTTCGGTGACCCTGTAATGGCAATGCTGATGATAGAATGATAGTGTCCTGTTTCCTTCCCTTCCCTTCCCTTCCTACCATCGCTTGTCTGTCCCTATACCTCAACCTCTGATCAGAAGATTACAGTCGAACCAATCGCGTGTCCCCAGCCCACCCCACAGCTGAGCACCCAAGTGCATTGTGGGTGGTAAATTAAAGGGCCTCTTCTACAAAAAAATGTAATCCTCTGCAAATTGTCTCCAGTACCTGATTGCCTACTGAGTGAGATCACGTCTTGACTATGATTTAAGGAGCCATGTTGACCGACGTTATGATGCCCTTGGAGTCCCCCACAATGCACGGTGCCTCCTGTCTGGGTGGATGGCGCGAGTTTGGACTGTCTTTATTGGGTCCCCCCGGTGTGGCTTCGCAGGTGCCTGAGTTCAGTTTGTCCTGTTACTCCCAGAATGGTCCAGTGAAGTCTCTCTCCACCCGTTAGTACATCCTGCATGTGAACATAACACATCCAATCAGCTTAGAGAGCAGACATGGTCACCCCTCCTCCAACAGGCAAACATAACACCCGACACCGCACACACTGCTGAAAAAAAGAGTTCCAGAACCCTGGAGGTAAGTTGCCCACATGTATGAAAAACATTCCTAATGACACAACAAGTATTCATTTTGCATTACAAAAGCAACCTGCACACGCTACACGCCATGTCATGTGATCTCACCAGATACCGCCAAAGCTATGGTCAGGACATAGACGCAAAGAGTAAAACATCGATAAAAACCATTACGATCACCTTCAAATTTGAAAGGGGTGTGTACCAGGGGCGGACTGACCATTTGGAAACTCCGGCACTGCCCGAGGGCCCGGGGTCAGTAGGGGGCCCCATGAGATGCCCCTGGTACCTTTTTCATAGGCTTTTTTGAGTTTGGGCAAGGACACAGAGGCCCCATGATCCCCTATTGCCCGGGGGCCCCATGAGTTGTCAGTCCGCCCCTGGTGTGTACATAAAAATTTGCACAGCTATTCGTTCTGCGAAACTGCATGTACATTCGTTCTGTCTGGATTGGTGCAAATCGAATGTTATATGACTATTTTCTCTCCAGGTCTACAGTGACTCAGGAAAATACCACATTATGGCCACCAGATGGAGCTGACCATCATAGGAAATATATATATTTATTTCCTATGACCATCAGCTCCATCTAGTGGCCATACTGCAGTATTTTCCCAAACGACTCCTTTTTTTTTTTTTTTTTTTTTTTTTTAAATAAATACCATTGAACCTAGAAAAAAAAAATAGACTAACAGGACAAAATATAAGCAGAAAAAATATTAAGGGTTAGGAAGATTGCACATAGCGAGAAAAGATGTGAAATACACTGAAAATAGATTATGGAGTTTACATGTAATCTATTATTCACCACTTGGCCTCTGGAAGGTTTTCCCCCCTTCATGACCCGCAGCATTCTTACTTATTTGAAATTTAGATAATTTTTTTTCACACAAATAGAATTTTCTTTTTGTGGTATTTGATAACCACTGGTTTTTTTTTTTGTTTGTTTTTTTTTTATTATTATATAAGCGAAAGAAAAAAATATAGACCACTTAAGCGTCCAACGTGCCACATCCCAAGATATACAATAGAGAGAAGAACCGCTAGAAAAACTAGATGGTATAAGAGCGAACTTTATAGACACCACATGAGACCACACATTATTATAAAACACACACTTTATTTTAATAAATCTTAAAATGGACGCCCATATGGAAGAAAAATATATTTGAAATACAGGCAGCCCAATCCAGCAAAGAGACATCCCCATCCAGTAGAGATAACCCCATATATTCAGCAAAGAGACAGCCCAATCCAGCAAAGAGACATCCCTATCCAGCAAAGACATCCCCATAGATTCAGCATATATATATATTCATCCCAATCCAGCAAAGAGACATCCCCAATATAGCAAAGAGATAGCCCAATCCAGCAAAGACATCCCCATATATCTAGCAAAGAAACATCCCTATCCAGCAAAGACATCCCCATATATTCAGCAAAGAGTCATCCCAATCTAGCAAAGAGACATCCCCATATAGCAAAGTGACATTTCCATATAGCAAAGAGACATCTCAATCCAGCAAAGTGACAGCCCTATCCAGAAAAGACATCCCCATGTACTCAACAAATAGACATCCCAATCCAGCAAAGAGACATCCCCATATAGCAAAGAGACATCCAATCCAGCAAAGAGACATCCCATATAGCAAAAAGACATCTCAATCCAGCAAAGAGACATTCCCATATAGCAAAGAGACAGCCCAATCCAGCAAAGAGGCATCCCCATCCAGTAGAGACATCCCCTTATATTCAGCAAAGAGACATCCCAGTCCAGCAAAGAGATTCCCCATATAGCAAAGAGACAACCCAATCCAACAATTAGACTGTCACAAACAGCACAATCAAACAAAGAGACAGTCACAGCACAGGCCTACACCCAGCAACATTGTCAATCAATTTACCATCCTGATGTCTAACAACTTGTCTCCAGACCAGTCCACAGTGAGCACTGAGCAGTCCTGCAGGCTACACGCAGCGCAATTCTTCCACACGGCTGAGGCCAAACAGCATCCGGTCAGCAGAAAGAGGCGGAGTGCAGATGACATCACTCCGCCTTCCCCCTGCAGACAGAACTAAGTGAGCTGCGTTGGCTCGCCTCGCGGCCACCCTGTTTAGCAATTGCTAGTTACTACAACAGCAACAACTCAGTCTTGTTGGTTGGGGGCCAGGCCCCTCGGGACACCCGGGCCCCCTACATGTGTATGGGCTGCCCTGCCATAGGGGGAAGGGTGCCCCGAAGCAAGCGGCAGCAAGAGGAATGCAGGGCTGACAACACCCACTACCTCTGCGTTCCTCGTGCCGCTGCTTGTCTTGGGCAAGTGCTGAGAGCCGAGCTAGCGCCGGTCACCATGCAGCTGTCTCCTTGCTAGCTGTGTTGTCGGACGGCTATGGGATGGGGGATGGGGGTTTGGTTCACCCGCTCTGACCTCATGGCTAGGCTCATTTTTTATAATGCTCTATCCAGCAGGGTGCAGTGACCATGCGGTGCTTTTCCGTGTTCCTTCATGCTTGGTAAGCCTGGTTTTGAGGTCAGACAGGGCAACCCACCCCACCCCCGCAGAGCCATCTGACAACACAGCTAGCAAGGAGACAGCTCCATGGTGACCGGTGTTCGCTCAGCTCCAAGCACTTGCCCAGGACAGGCAGCGGCCAGAGGAACGCAGAGGGAGGGGTTGTGTCAGCCCTGCATTCCTCTTGCTTGCTTTGAGAAAGTGTTCAGAGCCAAGCGAGCGCAGGTTCCCAGTCTCCTTGCTGGCTGCGTTGTCGGAGAGCCATGTGAATGGGCCCTTTGTAAGGTGAAGTTGGGTTTTAGGGACACCGCAGAGCAGAGCACCCATCCATGGCACTGTAGAAACGTTCGCTGGTGACATCACACTCTCTGGTTCAGCACACACCTGTACAGCCTTAGGGCCACACTGCAGTCACATGCCCCCCTCCTATAGAGGGCGCTCTCCTGTAGACCCTTTAGACTGGCACGTGGCCACCCACCCAGGAGCTGCCGGCTCCTCTGTTACCCCACAAAGGGGTCTGTTCCCCCCTCTGTGGATGTACTCGGGGCTCTGCGCCGGCTCACTTGCTGGATAAATCTTCTTCTCTGTTACAGATTTTGAGTCTTTGATGCCCAACACCTTTGAGTCTGAGGGACGGGTGTTCATTGCTCCGAGGTATGGTAGCTCTATGGAAATTCCCTGTGCTTTATGGTGTATGTCATCCTGGTCCTGTGCTTCGTAGTATATACCATCCCGGTCCTGTGCTTCATAGTATATACCATCCCTGTCCTGTGCTTCATAGTGTATACCATCCCGGTCCTGTGCTTCATAGTGTATACCATCCCGGTCCTGTGCTTCATAGTATATACCATCCCGGTCCTGTGCTTCATAGTATATACCATCCCGGTCCTGTGCTTCATAGTATATACCATCCCTGTCCTATGCTTCATAGTATATACCATCCCTGTCCTGTGCTTCATAGTGTATACCATCCCTGTCCTGTGCTTTATGGTGTATGTCATCCTGGTCCTGTGCTTCATAGTATATACCATGCCTGTCCTGTGCTTCATAGTATATACCATCCCTATTCTGTGCTTCATAGTATGTACCATTCCTGTCCTGTGCTTCATAGTATATACCATCCCTGTCCTGTGCTTCATAGTATATACCATCCTGGTCCTGTGCTTCATAGTATATACCATCCTGGTCCTGTGCTTCATAGTATATACCATCCCGGTCCTGTGCTTCATAGTATATACCTTCCCGGTCCTGTGCTTCATAGTATATACCATCCCTATCCTGTGCTTCATGGGTATATACCATCCAGGTCCTGTGCTTCATGGGTATATACCATCCCGGTCCTGTGCTTCATAGTATATACCATCCCGGTCCTGTGCTTCATAGTATATACCATCCCTGTCCTGTGCTTCATAGTATATACCATCCCTGTCCTATGCTTCATTGTATACGAGGTGGTATCTAAAACTTTCGAGACAGTTTTGTAAGCCAACAGATGTCAGCATAAGGCTGCACGCACAGTCACAGGGAGCAACGACCTTCATAAGTCAGTGTGCCAAAAATCATCTTTTTGTGTACATCGGGAGCTGTGCCACTGGTGCTATTCTGACCACGTGCGTTGCCACGTCTGCTATTTCATCATGGACAGCAAGTTAGAACAAAGAGGAAACGTGAAATTCCGTGTTTAGCTGGGCAGATCTGCCACAGAGACATCTGACACGATTCGGCAAGTTTACTGCGATGCCGCAATGAGTCCTTCGGGGTGTTTTGAGCAGCACATGCGCTTCAAGAGCGGAAAATAACATCACTGGAAGACGACGAGAGATCAGAAAGACCCTCAACCCCTGAAAATGCCCTCTTCCCGAAGATCAAGATCCAGCCCAAAGGTCGCCATTATGACCCCATTGCAGACATCCAGTGATTTTGCCCCGTTTCACACAGAATTTCACGTTTGCTCTTTGTTCTAACTTACTCTCCATAATGAAATAGCAGACGTGGTAATGTACGTGGTCAGAATAGCACCAGTTGCGCAGCTCCCGATATACACAGGACGATGTCTTTTGGCACACTGACTTCTGAAGGTCGGTGCTCCCTGTGACTGTGCGTGCAGCCTTGTGCTGACATCTGTTGGCGTGTTACAAAACTAGTCTTGAAACCTTTTGATACCACCTCGTATATCATCCCTGTCTTGTGCTTCTCAGTGTTCCATCTATCTTCTTCTGTACCCCATCCCAGTCTTCTCCTCCATCCTCTCCCCCCGTCCTCATCCTCTCTGTTCACATCTCCTTTGGGTCACCCCCCTTCTCTTCCTCCTTCTTCTTCCCAATGGTCATAATTATTTTTTATCCCCGTTCTAATGCCCCTCTCCTGTTTCCCGGGCCCCTCTTTCCCCCACAGGCAGTACTGTCGAGAGCTCGAACAGTCTGAAAACAACACAGAGTTCCTTCTGAACTTCATTACTCTGATGGAGAAAGTGACTCCGGACTCCAAGCAGTGTGAGTACCGCCGATCGATGAGCGCTTATAATGGGGGTCTGGTATGTGCTTTGCAGCTTTTAGTAGGAACCCGTCCTCTGTAAAAGAGTTCTTGGATAATCATAATAATTGGGTCTATCAGTTGAAAATGATCCAGAATGGTATCTGTAAATATGACCTAACAGTCTTTTGTAGAGTAAAAATGCAGCCAACGGGGGTAATGAAGGAAAATTAAGAGAAGGAAGGGACAACGAGAAAATGTTCAATCAGCTTGGCCAGAAACCCATAGGATGCTCCGCAGTATCCTGGATGGTGGGTCAGTGAGGATGTAAGAAGGGTTATATAGAGGAGATGATCCAGCAGCTTGGACAGGTATCACTCAGTAGGTCTGAAGTATCTTGGATGGTGGGTTGGTGGAAAGGGTTATACAGAGGAGATGTACTATCAGCTTGGCCAGAAACCCCTAGGATGGTCCGCAGTATCCTGGATGGTGGGTCAGTGAGGATGTAAGAAGGGTTATATAGAGGAGATGATCCAGCAGCTTGGACAGGTATCACTCAGTAGGTCTGAAGTATCTTGGATGGTGGGTTGGTGGAAAGGGTTATACAGAGGAGATGTGCAATCAGTTTGGCCAGAAACCCCTAGGATGGTCCGCAGTATCCTTGATGGTGGTTCAGTGAGGATGTAAGAAGGGTTATATAGAGGAGATGATCCAGCAGCTTGGACAGGAATCACTCAGTAGGTCTGAAGTATCTTGGATGGTGGGTTGGTGGAAAGGGTTATACAGAGGAGAAACAATCAGCTTGGATTGGAACTGTTTGAAAGGATGATGGGTCAGTGAGGATGTGGGAGTGTACAATCAGCTTTGAAAGGAACCTCTGGAAAGCTCTGCAGTATCTTGGATGGCTTGTCAGTGAGGATGTAGGAAGGGTTATATAGAGATTTACAATCACCTTGGACAAGAACCATCAAAAAGGTGTTCACTATCATGAATGGTGGGTCTGTGAGGACATAGAAAGGGTTATATAAAGAAGATGTACAACCAGTATGGATAGGTATCCCTAGAAAGGTCTGCAGTGTCTTAGATGGCGAGTTGAGAAGAATTAAAGAAGAGTTACATAGAGGAGATGTACAATCAGCATAGACAGGAACCGTTTGGAAGGTCTGTAGTAACTGTGATGGTAGGTCCGAGAGGATGTAGGAAGGGTTTTATAGAAGAGATGTACAATCAGCTTGGACGGGACCCCTTAAAAAGGTCTGCAATATCCTGGTGGCTGGTCGGTGGGGAGGTAGAAAGGGTTATATAGAGGAGATGTACAAAACAACTTGGACAGGAATCACTCAGGAGTTTTGAAGTATCATAGATGGTGTGTTGTTCGGGAGGTAGAAAAGGTTAGAGGAGATGTACAATCCGTTTGGACAGAAACTGTTAGAAAGGTCTGCAGTATCTTGGATGGCTTGTCAGTGAGGAAGTAGGAACAGTTATATAGGGGAGATGTACAAGCAGCTTGGACAGAAACTACTCTAAAAGATCAATGATGTCAGTGGGAACTCATCTTAGAGGCAGAAATTGCTCAAGGAACCCCTAACAACCTCTGGAGGAACCCTAGACTTCCATGGAACTCTGGTTGAGAAACTCTGATTTAGAAGGTCTGCAGTATCATTGATGGTGGGTTGAGAAGGATGTAAGAAGAGATATATAGAGGAGATGAGCCACCAGCTTAGACAGGAACCACTTGGAAAATCTGTTGTATCTTGGATGGTGGGTCAGTGAAGATGTAGGAAGGGTTATATACAGTGGAGGAGATGTACAAGCACCTTGACAGAAACCACCAGAAAGGTCTGCAGTATCCTGGATGGCTGTATCCTGGATCAGTGAGGATGTAGGAAGGATTATAAAAAGTTACAGTGATGTTACTGTTCTGATCCTCGTGCCTGGCCTCCTGGAGTCAAACACTGTGGTACAAATTATTCAAGAATACCAAACTATCTGAAGTTGTGAGAGGAGACTCCGCCTATAATCCAAACAGTTTAAGTGTGATAAATGATTGGAGTCTATTATCATTGGATGCAGCTGATGGACCTTCACACCACGCTGTGCATAATGACCTTGATTGTCCCATTTAACAGGTGACAGCTTCCTGCTGCACAACCTCATCTTGGACACGGGAATCACGCGGGATTTGGCTGACCGTGTTTGGAAGGACAAAGATCTTCTCACGTGAGCATACTGACATCACTCACTGCACCTTCACTATCCTTGAAGGACAAATCCATGTCACAGCCGAGCTTCAGTATCCATAATCAGTAACGCTCATGAGTATTACAGCATTTTTATTTTTTTAAGCACTTTTAATCGTCAGTAAAATTTTACTCCAATTTTTTAGCCTAAAACAACCACCAAAGCCTGTCTGTGACAACAAGGTGTCTGTAAAAATTCTAGACACAGCCTATCATCTGACAGACTCAACACAAGTGATGGCAGCCAATGGACACCTCTAAAAGAAGAGATGTGACAACGTAGCTCTAGCAATTCTGATCTTTTGATTAGTCAGATCACTTTTCATGTATCTCGTTACACATCTCTGTCCTCGTTCTTTCCTCTTCCCATAGTTATGGGCTTCTGGCGGTCTTTGCGGCAACAGACGGTGGCATCACCCGAGTCTTCCCCAACAAGTGAGTTCTGATATTCGACATGTGAAGCATCTGAGCTATTTAATCAGCCAGCTGTGGTAATACTGGGGACCTGTCAGTGTAATCGGGGTAACCGCTTTTCTGTGGTTATCTAGAGCCGCTGATGACTGGTTGGAGGACATGGAGCCTCACAATGCCACCTTCTACCGAAGAAGTCTCGACAACAAAAGGCTACATCTTTCGAGCACCATACAGAGAACGTGAGTAATTAAGTAGAGAGGAAGTGCCAAGACCACTGGGGTGGGGGTGGAGGGTCAGAGTGGAAAGTCCATAGGGATATGAGCAGTGTAGGGGTGGTGTACAAGGACCCCAAGAACTGGTTTGGGAGTTATTCAGAAATTGAACATGAAGGCCCTAGGGGGTGGGTTTATGATTTGTGTAGACATGAACTATGGGGACCCCAGGAGGTGGGGTGTGAGCAGTCTTGGGTAGGAGTATTAGGGCCCCAGGATTAGGGAGGGGTGTGAGCAGTGCAGGGGAAGAATATGAGGACTCAAGATGGTAAAATGTGAATAGTGTAGGGGTGGAATTTGAGCACCCTGGGGGTAAAGTGTAGCGGTGGAATTTAAAGATCCCAGGGGAGAGGTTTTCGATCAGCGTAGGAGTGGAATATGAGAATCCCAAGGGGCAGATTTGGGAACATTGTAGAAGTCGAATACGAGAACCCCAGGAGGTAGGGTGCAATCGGTGTTGAGTTGGAATATAAAGATCCCAGAGTCAGGCTGGAGTGTGAGCAATGTAGGAGAAGCATATGAGGATATCAGGGGGTGGGATATGAGAAGTATAGAGGTTGAATTTGATGACACCAGAGAAGATGGTGGGAGTATGAGGACCCCAGGGGGAGTGTTGTGAGCAGTATAGTGATGGAATATAAGAATCCCAATGGGGTATTGTTGTAAGCATTGTTTGAAAGGAAAATGGGAATCCCAGTGGGTAAGGGGGTGTGTAACGGAACCGGACCCCGATTGCACTTGGGCATTTCCGTTAGACTCCTGTTTCCTCGTCCGAACACCGACCAGACAACTCTTGAAGGAAAACCAGGAAAATAGACTACTTTAACACAGATACAAGATATATACATTCAAGGGGACAATCCCCCCTCCCTGCATAATGACACAGGGTGGGGCAAACCACATCTAGCAATAAGAGACACATCAGCAGACACCCCCCACCAAGCCAATACACAAACACATATCACCCTGCACCCCTAAAAGGCACAGGGTGACTTACACATAAGAGTGATCTGGGGAGCTGTGACAGGGGTCTCCCCACCTCTCTAAAGTGAGCTGTGTTCCATGGGCCCCCCACCCAAAGTGACTCCCGTCACAGGGTGTGAGCAATGTAAAGGGAGAATATGAAGACATTGGTTAGCTGTGTTGGGTAGAATGTGGGGCCCTCAGGAGGTGGGGTGTGATTAGTACTTGCATGGAATATGAAGCCCCCAGGGGGGCTATGTGCGAGCAGTCCATGAGTTGAAATTGAGGACCCTAGTGTGTGGGGTGTGAGTAGCGCAGGGGTGGCAGTTGCTGTGAGCATTGTCGGAGTAAAGTGCAAGAACCCTAAGGAGCAAAGTGTGAGCAGCACAGAGATAGAATGTAGGGGTTCCAGGGGGAATAATGAGTTGCACATGGATGGAGGGAAGGCCATATGGTGTTTAGTATGAGCAGTGCAGGAAGTAAAGTAGAGATGAGCGAAGAAATGAAAAATTCGATTCGACTGATTCGGCGAATTCGTGGACATTAAATGCCCTTGGAGTCTGCTGGGGAAGAGAAATAATACTGTCAGTCAGTATGACATGCAGATGAGTGCCGTCGATCTTAGAATCACCGCACACTTCACTCATTTGGGCAGTCACGGGGCCAAAACCAGAGTGTGGAGCCACAGTGTGGCGGTGGAGGCAGCAGCAATGGGAGGCCATACAGCACCCTATGACAAAAATGGAAACCCACCAGCAGTGTGAGGAGACCTGAAAGTGGCACATGGCAGAGTGTGGCGATAGAGACAGCAGCAATGGGAGGGCCGTACAGGGACCCATGACACACTCTGGACCTGGCAGCAGCATGAGGAGGCGGTACAGGGGCCCATGACAGATTACGGGCCTGGCAGCAGCATGAGGAGTCGGTACAGGGGCCCATGGCAAGGA